AGGTCTCAAGGTGGCTTCAAGACGGCACAAGATGCTATCAAGACGCCCCAAGAGGCCCGCAAGAAGACCAAGAAGACCCCCAAGAGGGCAAAATCGTTCCATTCCCTGCGGAAAACGTATATTTTTCATATATCCGCTTCTTTGGCCTTCATCGCGTCCAAGACGGCCCAAGAGGCCCCCAAGATCGCACCAGGACGGCCCAAGAAGTCCCCAAGGGAGCCCCAAGACAGCCCAAAAGTGCTCCAAAACGACCCAAGAGAGCCCGAAGACGGCCCCAAAGAGCACCAAAAGGCTTCCCAGAGAGCCCCAAGAAGGCTGCAGGAGGCCCCCAAGAAGAAGCAAGAAGGCCCCAAGACGGCCCAAGCCCCCCAGGACTGCCCAAGAGGGTCCCTTGACGGCCCAGGAGGGCCGCCACACAGCCCAAAAGAGCCTCAAAGGGAGCCCCACGAGAGCCCCGAGAGGCCATACCCCTATCAGCCATATGAGGCCTCTCGCCCCCACAAGCCCTACAACCACTATGGTGCGTCATGGTGCCCCATGAACCCTGTGAGGCCTAGGAGCCCTATGCGCCCGATGAGCCCTATGAGCACTATGAGCCCGACGACCCCTATGAGCCCTATGAGCCCTATGAGCCCTATGAACCCCATGAGCCCCATGAGCCCTATGAGCCCTGAGCCCCATGAGCCCTATGAGCCCCATGAGCCCTATGAGCCCTATGAGCCGCATGAGTCCTGTGAGCCCCTATGAGCCCTATCAGCCCTTAAGCCCTATGAGCCCTATGAGCCCTATGAGCCCTATGGGCCCCATGGTTTTCATGAGCCCTATGAGCCTTATGAGCCCTATGAGCCCGATGAGCCCTATGAGCTTTATGAGCCCTATGGGCTCTATGAGGCCTATGAACCCGATGAGCCGAATGAGCCCTTTAAGCCCTACGAACCCATGAGCCGTATGAGGCCTATGAGGCCTATGAGCCCTATGAGCACTGTGAGCCCTATGGGCCCCATGAGCCCTATGACCCCCACGAATCCTATTACTCCAATGAGCCCTAGGAGCCCAATGAGCCTTAAGAGCCATACGAGCCCATGAGCTCTCCGAGCTCCATGAGCCCCATGAGCCTGATGAGCCCTTTGAGGCCTATGAGCACTAGAAGCCCCATGACCTTTATGAGCTCACGAGCCCCAGGAGCCCCATGAACTCAATAAGCCGAGCCCCATACCCCCCCGACCCTCCATGACACCATATGAGCGCGATGACCTCTATGAGGCCTATGCGCCCTATGCGCCCTATGAGCCCTAGAACCCCCTCAGCACTAGAAGCCGTGAAGCCTTGCGAGACCCATGAGACCCCCCTCTCAGCCCTACGAGCCCAGTGAGCCGTATACGGCCTTTGGGCCCTATGAGCCCTATGGCCCCGACTTGCCCCTTCACCCCAATCGGCCCCATGAGCCCTACGAGGCCTACGCGCTCTGTTAGCGCCATGGGCCCTATGGCCTCCAAGAGCTAATGACTCCAGGGAGCCCCAGAACCCTTATAAGCACCGTGAGCCTCCTATGACCCCCATGACCTCTGTAAAAGCGACTCAGCATTATGAGCCCCGTACCCGATGTGCACAAACAGTCCCATGACCCCAACGAACCCCATGAGCCCTGTGAACCCTGTGAGTCTCATGACCCCCTGAAGCCGCATCGGCAGCAGTACCCCTCGCCCAAAATGGGGGCTCCGAGCCCTTGGGCCCAATGATGGCAGAGACCCCTTCTGAGCTTTTTGAGCCGCAATATTCCCTGGGTCCTATCAGCCCTGTTTGCTCCATGGTCTCCATGGCCAGAGCATACCGCGGCTGTGACGACAACCGATCTCATTGCGCCTCCCTGGCGCCATGCGACCAAGATGTTAAAGGCGAAGCGCAGCGAGCCGGTAAAACATTGTGTACACACATATATATATAGACATATAAATATACATATATATATATATATATATATATGTAGACACATATATATATATATATAGACAGATCCGCTCTCGGTAATTTGTTAAATCCAAGCCCTGCGGCAAAGGTGGACCCCCCCCTGCAGAACGGGACCCCCCGGATCTGTTGCCCTGGGGGCCCCGCGGATGCCCCTGCAAAAGGTCCCCTAGGCTTCCCAGGGCTCCTGGAAGTCCCTGGTGGAGACAACGAGCCAAGAACGGTCAGGAGGGCGGCCGAACGGCCCCTCGAGCGCCCCAAGCGGCTCCAGACACCCACCAGACGCCCGAAGACGACCCGAAGAAGACTCCATGTAGGCCCTCGAGACGCCAACAACAATTGTTTCTTGTATGCGTGTTGTACGATTCTGGGGATACTTACTCCTTGGGTTTTCCTGTCGTCTGGGACCTCCCAAGAGGCCCGATAATTGCTCCCAAACTACCCGAAGGAGCTTCAAGGCAGTCCAAGAGAGCCCCAAGACGACCCAAGAGGACCCTAAGATGGCCTTAGGACAGCCACATGACGGCCCAAGATAATCCAAATACGCCCCTCGAAGCATTCCAAACACCCCCCCCGCCACCCTCGGGCCCAGACCTATACCTCCACCGCTACCACCCTGCGTGGGTCAGAAGGTGATGGGGTGATCCGTCTTTCTCCCGCTGTTCATTCTCTTACTCCGTCTCTCTCTCTCTCTGGATTCTCACAATCCCACAACTATCCCCACCACCGCCACCATTACTACAACCTCGAACATCCCAACTGCTACCACCACCGCAACCGCCACCATCATCACCACCACCCTCTGATTCAGACAGGGCGGCTGCCACCATCATCACCACCTCCCCCTGACCCAGACATCTGTTCCTCCACCACCACCGCGCTGTCTGGGTCAGGGGGTGGCGGCGGCGGTCCTTCTTTCCTCTGCCGTGTGTTATATGCTCTCCATCGTCCTCCTGATTCCCGTCATCCCGCCACCCGTGCTACCACAATCAGTGCTACCACTGCACTGCGACTGCCACTACTCCGATTGCGACAACTCTACGGAGACACTTAGCATGAGAGGCGAAGAGAAGCATGGGGGAGAGGGAGAGAGAGAGAGAGAGAGAGATGGAGGGACAGAGAGAGAGAGAGAGAGAATGACGAGAGGTGGAAAGCATGAGCAGGATGCGGAAAGAGGAAGATGCGAGAGGATAGTCGACGGAGGGAGGTGGTGGCACAGATGCTCAGAGGGGGGAACTACGCAGAGGAGGAAGTGGGGTGCGAGAAACATCACCAGGATATTGGAAGGAGGGGAGGGGGGGGGGGGCAACCATACCAGGAGGGACGTGAGGGGAGGGACGGGGGGGGGGGGAGGGAGCAGTGGAGGTAGAGGGGGATGATGGGGGAGGGGGGGGGGGAGAGGGGGGAAGGAGGAGAAGGGTGTGGCGAGGAGAGAGGACGGTTAGATGGACACAAGGGAGGATGATCAGGACGAGAAAGAAGAGGCAGGACGATGAGGACGAGGAGGAGGGATGAGTGATGAGGAGAGAGTAGGAAAAAAAAGGGAGGAGGATGAGGAGGGGTAGCATCAGCGTAGGATGAACACGCCCTGAGAAAGAGAAAGAGAACGAGGGAGAGAGAGGATGATGCTGAGGAGGAGGAGGAGAAGGAGAAGGCCGAGGAGGAAGAGGGGGAAGCGGAGGAGGAGGAGGAGTAAGGAGGAGGCCGAGAAGGAGGAGGCCGAGGAGGAGGAGGAGGCGGAGGAGGAGAGGGAGGAGGAGGAGGAGGAGGAGGAGGAGGAGGAGGATGGGGGAGGAGGAGGAAAAGGAGGAGGAGGAGGAGGAGGAGGAGGAAGAGGAACAAGAAGCGGAAATGAGAGCCGTGAGAACCGTCAAACATTAATTGAAATCAAGGTTTGCGCCCTCGTGAAGCCCTCTGAAGGGCCTCCAGGGCTGGTCGAGACCCGTCCTGGCTGTATTTTCGGGTAGTCTCGAAGCTGTCCCGAGATCGTCAGGAACTCATCGGAAGGTGCCGGATTAGGTGACGCCCATCCGGCTTCTTTTCCGTATCGTTTGATAGGGCCATGAAACATGGTTATACGTACATATACATATACACATACATGTATGCACATATGTATGTATAGTGTACCCAGCTGTTTTTGCTTGGCGCCCAACCTGGTTGCGGGTATAATCGTTATCTCGTCGCGCCTCCATTCCTGTACTTGCCGGCCCAGCCTGCCGCTTACTAAGGAACGCCAGCTGGTGCACGTGTCTTGGACGAACTTGATAATCTCAATCAGCTGTCAATGCCATGTGGCAATTTGACTCGCGATCGCTCCCAATTGCGGTGTTCAGGGATAAAGTGTGTGAAGCATGCCAGGGGGCCCGCGGTAATCGTGAGTAAGTCCAAGGTTATGAAATGGTCGCTTAGAACTTGCGCGCGCATGACTGTGGCGTTGAAAAGGCCCAGGCGATTACGAATAGGTCTTCGCCTGGGATTGATTGGATGCTGGGTTCCAGAGACAAGCATTAATCAGAGGAAAAGGTGAGACATTGTAGAACACGCCTTCAGACCAATGATGGCGATATGCTGCATCCTCATCTGGACAACGGAAATACTTCGATTGTGGCAGATGTTGGAAAACATGGCAGCGTGCAGATCGGTGCCTGAAGCTAGCAAGCTCGCGGTGGGACCCTGACTCCATTATGGTTGTACCGAGAGATGGGAGGGTCACTCGGGAACGTGAGCATTAGAAGGACCCCAGGGAGAAAGGAACGCCCCCCCCCCCCAGGTGCCCCTTCTGCCGACTCGGTCGTGGCCACGTGGGGCCCACGAGTTGAGCCAATCGGAGCAGAAGCACAAGCGTTTGAAGCTCACTCCTCAAGCCCTGCATAGGAACTAAGACGACCTCCAATGCTGCCAGGGCCACCGCAGCCGGCATAATGGCAGACCATCTCCACTCCACATTGCATCCCCCTTCTTCCCTTCTTACTTCTTCCTCCCTTCAGCCCTCCATCGTCCTCCCTAGAAGGAGCACGGGTCGGGGAGGTCGCCTCCTCGACAGATACGTCCGCACGGGCTCCTTCCTCGGAGAGGTAATCCAGCACCACTTCGACCCGTCGGTCCGCCAGCTCCTCGTGCGTGCCCTCCTGGTATGGAGGAGGAGGAGGAGGAGGAGGAGGAGGAGGAGGAGGAGGAGGAGGAGGAGGAGGAGGAGGAGGGGGGAGGAGAAGGAGGAAAAGGAGGAGGAGGAGGCGGAGGAGAGGGAAGAGGAGGAGGAGGAGGAGGAGGCGGAGGAGAGGGAAGAGGAGGAGGAGGAGCGCAAACGGGACAGGCGGGAGGTGGGACCACTAGAAATGCGGAAGACTTAAGGGGAATGGGGTGGAGCCCAGAAGAGGGAACAGGCCCCGACGACAGGCTGGCAGGCCAGCAGCACAGCAGCATAGCACACACACATGAGACACAGAGTGCTAGAACGCATCTCTCGGTCACGGACCCCCTGGTCACAGGCTCCTCCACCACGCGTCCGGCGCTCACGCACACGATCTTGTCCGCACCTGGCCGGCGGGAGTCCCAGGAAGACGAGAAGGGACATAGCGGCGGTCCGAAGAGGAGGAGAAGGAGGAGGAAGAGGAGGAGGGGGGAGGAGGAGGAGGAGGAGGAGGAGGAGGAGGAGGAGGAGGAGGAGGAGGAGGAGGAGGAGGAGGAGAGGAGGAGAGAAGGAGGAGTGGGGAGGGGGAGGGGGGAGGAGGAGGAGGGGAGGAGGAGAGGAGGAGGAGGAGGAGGAGGAGGAGGAGGAGGAGGAGGAGGAAGAGGAGGAGGAGGTGGTGGTGGTGGTGGAAGAGGAGGTGGCACATCGAAGCGAAGAGGAGCCGCGGCAGCAGAAGCAAAGGCAGCAGGCCGAACAAACCCAAGGAGCGGTGCATACCGATCTCGTGTGCGCTGTCTGCGGACTGTTTAGGGGGGGTAGCAGATTGCTCCAAGGGTGTTCTGCTGGAGGGCAAAAATTCAAACGCACCAGAAACAGACGAAAACGAAAAACGAAAAAAAGGAGGTGGACAAGAACGAACAACCCAACGGAAACACAACCAAACACAAAACGAACAACACAACCTAACTAAATATCGTTGTGGTCGGTCCCTGGCGAAATTCACGCACTCCTCATGCCTCCCAGACCTCCGCCGCCGCCGCCGCCGCCTTCTCCTCATCCGCCTCGTACTGCTGCTCCTGCAGTTCGTGCCACTGCTGCTGCGCCTCCTGATCTCTCCCTCCTGGTCCTGCCTCACAATACTCTCCCTCTGCTCTTCTCTTCCATCGTCCACCTCTTGCCCCCTTCTAGAAGAAACGAAAACCACGTAAACATAAACTTTTGGCGCTCCGCGCGGAGCGCCAAAAGTTTATGTTTTGTTGTTTTTGTTCTTCTTCGACCCTCCATACCCATACCCTTCCCCATCCTTCCCGTCCTCCCCGCCACCCTCCCAAGTTGCGCTCCCGCATTGGGCGCATTGGCACGGCCAAGGCGTGGGAGGCCGGGCCGCGCGCGAGCGGGCGAAAGTGTCGCCCCCGCTCGAGCCTCGTGCAGACTTCGCCTGGAAGCGTCGCTCCAGGAGGAGAAGGAGGAGGATTTTTTTTTTGATTTGCGCGCGGGTGATCGTCTGCCGAACACTCCTGCCCGCGGCGCCGAAACGACGAGCGAGGGGCCCGAAGAAGGGCCGAAAGAAGCGAGGGACGGACCAGGACCCAAACAGAGCCGAGCGAGGGACCGACCCGAACAAACATGGACAACGAAAAATCGATGGCCCGAAACAAGCGATGCTGGCAAGACTGGCGAGAAAATTTGGAGCCCGCGTCCTGGCTCCTGGGCTTCCAGCCTCATACTCTGGCCAGGCAGCAGCATGCATACATACAAGACAAACGCAGCACGGCGGCGGAGAGCCCTTCCTCTCTTCGCGAGCCTGGGCTGGGGGGGGACAAAAGGAGCACATAGAGGATGAATGGGCGCAGGCGGTACGGGCGCCTGCTTCTCAGCGCCTCTGTACCCACTCATCCTCGGCCTAGCCTACGAGCCCTGACGTATCGGCACAGGACACTTCGAAGAGAAAAGCTAGAGAGGCGTGAAAGGATGTCGCCCCGCGCAGCAGGCGGAGCAAGATAATTTTCTTTGCTTCTCTTTGCGAGCCTGGGCGGGGGAAAAGACAAAGGCAGCGCACAAGGAGGATGAGTGGGCGCAGGCGGAGCGGGTGCCTGCTTCTCAGCGCCTCTGTACCCGCTCATCCTCAGCCTACTAGACCCTGACGTGTCGGCCATAAGACATTTCGACTGTCCGACTGTCAGAGAGAATCATTGCATAGACTAGAGAAGCACGCGCAGCTATCCCCGCGCGGCGGGCGGGCAAGAGTCTTCTCTCTTTGCGAGCCTGGCCGGGGGGGAATGACAAAAGCACAGTCGGGATAAGTGGGCGCAGGCGGAACGGGTGCCTGCTTCTCAGCGCCTCTGTACCCACTTATCCCAAGCCTACCCTACTTCCTGGAAGCTGTCCTCTGGAGCGGCCAGGAAAGGGAGTACTGCAGAACAGCACTTCTGGCGGCTGGTGTCGGGGATCCGAGTAGTCCTGCCAGCATCAGACAGACGAGACAGACCAGATATCCCAGGATACATCCACCCCACCTCCGAAGTATACCCCGAGAAATCTACGGAGCCTTTAAAAGCCATGCAGGATCAAACAGTGCCTGAAAATTAAAGACATCGCGAGGGGCAGGAAAGGCATATATAACGTTGACATTGTCAACCGCAGTGACCTCACCGACTGGTTGATCAGTGCGGGGGTCACGACCATCACACACGCGGCGAAGCCGTGAGATGGTGCCAGAGGCCCGAGGAGGCCCAGTGCAAGATTTAGTTAAATCAACTGCCTTCTTACACGAGTAGCGGCCACAGCGGCGACAAAATATGATATTATTTAGCCGCCTGAGCACGTGCCCACCGCCAGTGGGAGAAGAGCGCTGTGAACGCAATAAGTAGCTCTTGGAGACTGAGCTAGCCCAACAGTTCACGCATCGAAAACGGCCCGCTGAGGGGTCCCAGAAATGCTCATGCAAGGCCCCAGAGGAGGCACCAGAGAGGACTAGGGGTGGGACCGAGGGGGCGGGAGACTCGCCAGAATCCGCCGCCCAGACCTTTTTGGGCACATTCTTAAAAATCCATGCTATGCAATGACAGATATACACACCAAGATTGCGCACCAGCACACCAGAGCGCTTGACGCGGTCGTGCAGGACCGTGTCCAGAGCGTGTAGGTCTGCACCTAGGTTAGCAAGTCTGTCGGCTTGCTTATTACCCGCGGAGGTAGAGTGGCCACGAACCTTGGTGACCTTAATTAGGTGATACCCGATATCTGAAGCCGCACGGTGGACACTGACCCACGAGGATGCGTGAGTGGCCCAGCCGTGCGTGGTAGCTTCATACCCCACTGCCCAACCGTCAACGACATACTGGGCATCCGTGACAAACTCATAGCAGTCGGAGGGGGCGGCATGGGTTAGATAAAAAAAAACGCGTAAAGCTCAGCCCCTGAGACATCCTGGGTGAGAAAGGGATATACGCCATAGGCATCAGCACTAAGCCGCAGCCGATCATTGGCGAGGGGCTCACCAAAAACATTTCGGCTACGCGGGGCAAAAGAGCAAACGCCCCATCCACAACGGAGAGTGAGCGGCGAGGGACCATGCTTTCCCGGGCCGTCTCCGTACGCAGGCGACGAGAAAAAAGGGGCCATCTATGGCCCCTTCCCAGACAGGGTCTGGGAACGGTGGTGCGAGCAGGGAGCAATAGCGCGGGTCGGGGACCATGGCAGTGGTCCAGACAGGGTTCTCGCGGTACTGCTCTATGCAACGGGCGAGGGCTGGAGTCGGGCCGAACCAACGACGAAACTCCACAAGCCCATCACACTCATATAGGGTGTGAAACACGGGGTCAGAGGGGGCAACCTGGCAAATGGGGCACAGAGGTTTAAAGTATATATCCCCCAGATATAAAAGTTCTCAAAGCACGTTGCTGGAGGACACCCCATCCTTCAGTCTGTTTAGGCAGGAGGGAAAGTAGAGGGGGCAGGAAGGGGGGGCCAGACAGGTGACTGAACGATGGGCGACGCTCAGAGGCCTGCTTCCAAGCCCAAACAGACGCGTCGCGAGTCACCAGTGCAACCACCTCACGAGGGGAAGTAGACGAAATATCAACATCGGTTCCAAGAGAACTCCGCCATATTGTGGGCGAAACCGCAGACCACCCAATTCTACGCATAGTGGGAACCAAAATCTGTCCTGGGCCCTGCAATTCAGCCCACGGGGTATCTGGCGTCACCTTGGCGTAGGCTAACTGGAAAACTTGGTCTATCATACCGACGGGAAGGAGAGAAGACAGTCCAGAGACGAGTAACCTCAGCATGTGCGTCCATAACAGGGTCGGTAACACCATGCAACGCCAAATCCATCGTGGCAGACCTACGCTTACCTGTGCCGAGACCAGCGTGGTATATAGAACGGACCTGACGAATCTGATGGGTAGATAGACCGACGACATCAATGCCGTACATGACCGTGGGCCGCAAGTTAGTGTTTACAATACCTGCAACCTTTGCACCCGCCTTCTTTATATTCAATAGGCGTCGGGCCTTAAACATGGCCTTCTTCAATCGACCAGTGAGGACTGTACGAGAACGACGCCCCTGACGTAGCTGATAGTCAATCCCGAGGTTGCGACAAGAGAACTTGACGGCACCAGCGAGACGTGGGGTTTCAGCTGCAATGCTCTGGGCCAACTGGGGGTCGGTAGCCAAGAGCACGATTTTCTTCTCGGATAGTGGTAAACATGCCGAGAAAGTCAGCTTGCCCATCAAAAGGTGCGACGCATCGGGACCGAATTTGAGCAACTCCCTCTCCGAGCCTATCCCCGGGACCTGGACGTCGTCGGCGACGAGGCCGAGGTGCATATTTGGATAAGACTGACGAAACGAATCCAACTCGGGCATCAATAGAATACGCATAAACAGATCGGCAAAGGAACAACCAGCAACAATAGTTTTGCTAGCTCTGACCCACTCCCCGACAATTCGCCGCAACGTGACCACACGTGGGGAACGATACAGAGACAGGAAAACCCTCAAGAGTGCTGGATGGAACCCAAACTCACTAGCTCGTCCAATGAGAAGTTTATGGCGAACCTGTTCAAAAGCCTTCTGGATGTCGAGCAAGAGTGCAAACACAGACAAACCTTTGGCAGATGCTAGCTCCGTGAGCACGCCCATGCGCCACACACATGCTTGGCAGGAGTGACCGCGCACACCATACACGTACGGACGAGGATGCAAGCGCGCCCACATAACACCGTACGTGTGCCTGAAGAACCGAGAGTACGTACGCACACACGTCGTGAACAAGGCCACCGTACGCTCGCCACCATCAGCCTTCGGGATCAAATTCATGATGAACACAGCGAGAATGGGAGGAAATCTACCCAATCGCAGAACAGCACGCCAGATGCCAAACAAGGCAAGAAGAGACGAGTCGGAAAGTAGCGCATGGTGACGTGGATGCATAGAATCCAATCCAACCGACGTACGAGCTTTGTACCTGCGACACATATGTCTGTACTTGTCCAGAG